CCCCCAGTCCTTGGTTCTTCGTGTTCTCTTTGAGTGTTGCAAAAATACCGTTCCTCTAGGAAGATGGAGGGTTTAGACCCAATATTATTACTATTCTGTCCTAATGTCCACTGCACTTAAAAATAATTACAAGAAAAAAGAAGAAATCTAACTATAACCATATACAACTAAAAGAAAATAAAAGGCGAGAAATAGGGATAACTTCCAGGAGAGTGCTTACAATTGTCAAACTAATAAACATCCTGTACATTAATATCTTATTTGCATTTCTACAGCAAATGTAGCTCTACTAATCCTTAAAATCTAAACTGATAAATTCCTCCAAGGTTGTCTTTTTAAAAGGCTCTGAGGCCCCATCTACAGTGCCATATAAAATCCAGATTTTTTTGCTTTGTATTGGATTATATTAATCTACACTGTCATATAATCCAGTTCAAAACAGATAATCTGGATTTTATATGGCACTGTAGATGGGGACTGAGTGTGTTTCAAAAGGAGAATTATTGTTACTGGCTTCTCAAGTAACTGTGGACTGCTATCAGCATCACTAAACTTTCAAATGAAATGCTTTTTGGGGGGCGGGGGACTCAAAAGATGTTTATTTGTGAAGTGATAAAAACTTAAAGAAAGTCCAGTGATTAAACCATGTGGGCATCCAGCCACCTTTCAAACGATGTAATCTGTTTAAATAATTGAATGTCATCCTAGGAAAGTAATGATGCAATTGCTTTGATTCTTGTCTCAGGCAATAAGCCAACCCTCCAACTTTACCAAATTCCTTATTTTTCAGTGAAAAGTAATTTGCAACTTGTCCCCAAAAGGCAAAGACCTTAATTTCCTCAATTATGGTTGCTATTCATATTCCACTCTTTTTAAGTGGCTGATATATACAATGTAAAAATACTGCTGTCAAATTCAAAATGTAAAATCCAGTTATATGACAAGAAAAAGAAACTGAGCACTGGTTGGAAAGAGTGGATAAATGACTGTACTGAAATAAGAAAGAAGGAATTAAAAGGTTACATTTATCATTGTGTCTGTCCAATATGAGAGCATGCTTTTTTGTATGTCCAGTAAGTGAATACTCCTTACTAAAACATTTTGACCAGAATTCCCCACTGTATATAGACCTACAAAAAAGTTCTCTATGATCATAGAATGTACTGCTTTCTTTTTCCCATGAGAAAATCTCACACCCCTTGTCAAACTGATGCTGATTTTCTTGATGTAGAGAAAAGAAAGAGGGAAATGACCAAACTCGTTTTAGTCTTACTTTTAATGAAGTATCAAAATTAGTCAGTGGTTCTCAACTATGACATTATTTTATAATGAAATAAGGGTAATAATGATACTAAAATTCTGGGTAAGCACCCTGGGCAGTTCACAAAATTAAAGCTTGAAGAAAATAGTAAACACCCTAACTGTGTAGTATACATAAACAAAGGAAATCTGACCAATGCAACCTCCAAAATTACTAACATTAAAAAAATGCATAATGACTGAAAAATCTAAAAAAAATGGCACCAAAAAAAAAAACATAATGTGGGGATCAGGTAAGCCATCCTTGGGTCATCATATTTCAGAAAGGACTTGGAGACACACAATAACAATTGCTCAGGTGTTGTTAGCCCATAGTAAAGTCACCTCTACAATCAGCCACTAGAATACAAAAGCCATTTAGAGTCATATAATGTATGCAGTCAGAGAACAAGATCTTGCCAACCAGTCCTAGTTCTATGGGCTTTTCAATGTAACTTCTAGGTAGAGCCACTCTGAAGCATTCCCATGATTCTCAAACTGTGTGCAGTTCATCTCCATACAATTGGGTATTATGTGTTGTGAGGTAGGGTTGTGCATGATTTCGTTTTTGTGTACCAGATTTGAATTATTTGGTGGTTCAGTTGCCGAATGCATGAAAACGAGTCTGGCATAGGGCAGCTGAAACCTTAGCTGATACAGATCACAGCAGTCAGATCTTTTCGGCTAATTAGCTTCCGGTTCCGGTATGGCGGTCAGCAGCAGAACGCTGAGCTGGGCCGTCCAAATTTAAAATCTAAAGGAATCCAGGGGGACCCCCCTGCTCGAGTCCCCTCAAATTGAGGGGAGAGAGACCCAGAACCACAAGGGTCCTGCAGAGATCCCTGAGAGGCGCGGGGAGTTAAGGAGCCAAGAGTAAGAGCCGGGGAAGAGCTGGAGAAGGCGGAGAAGGCTACTAACCGCCATTACAACGCGGTCGGCTCTCCCCTCAGAAAGACTCTAAGACTCAAAATTCTAAAGCTTACCTGGTGAGTCCTTCCTGGCTGCCTCCTCTCCTCTCCTGAATATTCCCCGTTAGGACGTTGCAGAGGGCGAGCAGCTGCTGCCCGGCCACACCACCGCCGAGGCCGGCTGCGGGCTGCGGCCTACTCGGCCTGATAGGCCCATCGCGCCGCCCGCCTTCCTCCCGCGGATCCGGGGAGGAAGAGAAGAGGACGAGGCCCGGCAGCTTCCCTCCGGGCCTGGGAGGCCCCACTGCTCTGCCCGCCCTCCTCCCGCCGACCAGGGGGAGGAGGAGAAGAGGACGAGGCCGGCAGCGCCCCTCCGGTCCTGGTGGGCCCCATCGCGCCGCCGCCTTCCTCCCGCCGATCCGGGGGAGGAAGGGAAGAGCACGAGGCCGGCAGCTCCTCTCCGGGCCCGGTAAGCCCCACCGCCCCATCGCCCGCCCGCCCCTCCCGCCGATCCGGGGGAGGAAGAAGAGAGGTCGAGGCTGGAAGCTCTTCCCCGGGCCTGGTAGGCCCCACCGCTCCGCCCGCCCTCCCCCGCCGACCAAGGGGGGAGGAGAAGAGGACGAGGCCTGCAGCTCCCCTCCGGTTAGGGTAGGCCTCCATCGCACCGCCCGCCTTCCTCCCACCGATCCGGGGGAGGAAGGGAAGAGGACGAGGCCGGCAGCCCCCCTCCGGGCCCGGTAGGCCCCACCGCTCCACCCGCCCTCCTCCCGCCGATCAGGGGAGGAGGAGAAGAGGACGAGGCCGGCAGCGCCCCTCCGGGCCTGGTAGGCCCCATCGCGCCGCCGCCTTCCTCCCGCCGATCCAGGGGAGGAAGGGAAGAGTACAAGGAGAAGAGGACGAGGCCAGCAGCTCCTCTCCGGGCCCGGTAAGCCCCACCGCTCCACCTGCCCTCCTCCCGCCGATCAGGGGGAGGAGGAGAAGAGGACGAGGCCGGCAGCTTTTCCTCCGGGCCTGGTAGGCCCCATCGCTCTGCCCGCCTTCCTCCCGCCGATCCGGGGGAGGAAGAGAAGAGGACGAGGCCGGCAGCTCCCCTCTGGGCCTGGTAGGCCCCACCGCTCCGCCCGCCCTCCTCCCGCTGATTAGGGGGAGGAGGAGAAAAGGACGAGGCCTGCAGCTCCCCTCCGGACAAGGTAGGCCCCACCGACCTGAGCTGGGCCCGGCCGCCGGGCCTTTACCATCTCCTTTACCATCTCCTACCATCCGGGCCTGGGTCCCTACCAGGAAGGCTCGGGCCTTTACCATCTTCTACCACCTGGGCCTCACCATCTGGGCAAGTTGCGTGTAGACCTTGTGTGCCGACCTTTTCTGTGTGGACCGATATTGTGTAGACCTTTTGTGCTGACCTTTCTCTGTGCTGACCGACATTGTGATAGACCTATTGTGCTGACCACCGCCGTGTTGACCATCTCCGGAAGACTGAGAGACTCATCCGCTACTTTACACCAGCCGTCCATAGATTACACCTTGAATCATAATTCTACCAAACTGATATCACTGCCAATCTCCTTAATACTGTGTTTACATATTGCTAAGAGAGCACGCTCCTTGTCTACCTTGCTGCTAATTGGTACTAAGAACGCAATATAGCACTTTAAGGCGCCTGCCTCTTTTGCTGCTAAATCGTACTAGCTCTTACGCTCCCTTCCCCTATCCCTCCATGCCGCACTTTATATAGCGCTGAGGGCCAGATGTGGGTATTTTGTCGCACTTTAAGATCTTGCACTTTATGAATTGCCCTAGTGGCACGCAGCAGGGAGCACACAACGCCCCTGTTGTTCCAGCTCCACTGGCTGCCGATCTGCTACCGGGCCCAATTTAAGGTGCTGGTATTGGCCTACAAAGCCCTAAACGGTTCCGGCCCAAAATACCTCTCTGACCGCATCTCGGCCTATGAGCCCACGAGGACCTTGAGATCATCTGGGGAGGCCCTTCTCTCGATCCCGCCTGCCTCACAGGCACGTCTGGCGGGGACGAGAGATAGGGCCTTCTCAGTGGTGGCCCCCCGGCTATGGAGCACCCTCCCTGTTGACATCAGGCAGGCGCCCTCCCTTATGTCATTTCGTAAGAGTCTAAAAACATGGCTATTCGAGAAGGCGTTTAACTAAATGCTATAACAATTGGCTGACGACTGGAACGGAATATGGATTATGAGATTGGCTTATGATTCTGTGATGAGACGATGCGGATGATTTAGTTTAATTATATGATTGTGGTATTATTGCTTGTTATGTAGATATTTGTTATGCTATGGCTTACTGTAAACTGTTTTTTATGTGTTGTACACCGCCGTGAGTCGCCCTAAGGGGCTGAGAATGGCGGTCAACAAATGCAATAAATAAATAAATAAATAAATAAATAAAATGGGGAATAATAATGGGGACCAATGGGACTGAGCAGCAGTCTACCTGAGGTGGAGATGACGATACGTGGACAGGGCAGTCTCAGGAAAACTGCTGCTCCTCGTTCTTCTTTACTTTCTTCCACAGCAGCCTCCTCCATCCTTTACTAAAGGTCCTGCTGCCTCCTGCGTGCCTGCTTGAGGTGAATGGGAACTTGCTTTCCTAGCAACACTTTGTGCAATGCAAGCATTGAAGTAGCCTTATGCTCCTTCCTGAGGCATGATGAGAGTTGAGGTTTTTCTCTCTGTGTGTTTCTTATTTTCTTGCTCAGCCAATCAGAGTCCTGATTGACTGTGTCCATCCATTCTCCTCCCCTCTTGTGGTCTGTGCTTGA